GTGCATCCCTCGGTAGTCGACTCTACGGAAAAGTAAACTATGGTACCTTAGTTATTTACACCATAAGAAACTATGTGAGCTATAGCCTTGTAAGTTAACATATGCATTTAGTGTATGTGCATGTATATAAATGTATAAAATAGTGGTATATGCATAATAAATCTTTTTTCTCATGTCATAAAATATTTCACAAATAGTCCGAGAAAATTCTTTTTTCTATCTTTGGACATGCCCCATTTAGGTACTTTAGGGTTTTCATAACATATGTCCGGCAAACCGGATCCATCAATGGACACGTCCTACCGAGCCTCTAAAAATGCACGTCCGCACTTGCCCCGCCCTCGAACCATTACCATTACCATATGGAAATCTCATAAAGCATATTTTCATAAAAATCCTCAAAGTCAAGAAAATCACATCCTTTAAAACATTTTCGATTGCTATTGGGAAATCATGGCATAAAACCACATTTTCATAACTTAGAACATTATTTGTGAGCATTGGTGTGCATATGCATTCGAATGAAGTTGCATGCTGCATTGGTTCATGAATGCTTTCCTTAAATGGTCATATAACAAAGTCATAAGAATATGTATAAAATCGAGCAGAGCATAACGGCATAATAACATTACCTCCCATAAAATCAGTCCAATAAGCACATATCAAATCATCACCATAGCAATAACAAAACTTCACAAGTACTTACATTTCAACCATAAATGACACTTACCATTCAAGTATATTAAATACCAATTCAAAGTATAAACAAGCATAATATCACATAAAATGACTAAGTTTAAACTTTTCTTCATACAAGACTATTTTTTTTTCTATTATTATTTAGTCATTTTCTTTTATTTCTTAGTACCCATTTTACATCTATTATGTCCTAACTTAATTAAGATTTCCTAATTGTATAATGTTTGACTAATTGTGGGTATTATTTTCTTATTGGGTCTTATTGGGCCCAACTTTCAACTTTTCCATTTTAGATCCATTCTTGGTACTCACTAAATTTTTATATTCTTCTCAACCTTATTACATAATTCTAACCTCAAATTGACCATTTGAAGGATTAAGGGTTATTTAAACTTGATATCTACATTTCTCTCCTTTAGATCAAATTTTCCTCATTTTCAAATCCTAATAATTTATTCTCTTTTGATCCTAAAATTTTGACACTATGTAGCCTAAATAAATAGAAACCGTATGAATCAATTTAATTCATATTTAGGGTGCAAATTTTTGCCCAAACCCATATTGGACCTTAATGGGCCTAGATGGGCATATGCCCATATAATCAATTTTCTTCCATTTTCATCAAATTTTTCATTCCTACACATCAAAACATGCTTATCCAAGTGTGAATCAACCATCAAACCATAAACTAAGTGCTTGGAATTCAAATTCTAAAATTTTCAAATTAGGCCAAATATAACCCCCTAAATTAGTAAATTTTTCTTCAATTAATGTGAAATATTTTATTCTAAATCACTAATTCAAACCTAAATAAGCCACAATCAAGTCCTAAAACCCCAATTGCATGGAAGAATTAAAAACCCCTAATTTAATCATTTGGGCCGAATGGTAACAAGGAAAGAACCCTAAGAATTTTTGAGTTTTAATCCTCAATTTTAAGCCTAATGACCTATTTAAATCCTAATTTCATGATTTTCAAGTCGAATTCGTTTTCCCCAAATTAGGTCAACAAGAACCCTAACCCTAATTTTTCTCAATTTATGCAATTAATCAAATAAAAGCAATTAAACACAAAATTGACATGAAATTAAACTTTTTTGTGGTGTAGGTGAAGTTAACTTACATGATTAAGCTTCAAATTAACCTTGAAAAGGTAGGTTGCTTGAAAATTTTCTTCCTTCTCTTTTTCTCCCTAAATTTGAATTAGCTCTTTTAATTTTCTCCTTGAAGGTATTTGGCTCCAACTTGAATTTGAAGCTTAATCTACTGATTTGGAGGGTTTAAAATTGGTTATGATTATTTTGGGTAGTTTTTGAGTGAAAATTTTACAAGATTTTCCTTTATATTTTTCAATTTTCTCTCCCTTTTTAATTTTTCTAGCATCCCTATTTATAGTAAAATGTTTGTAGATTTGTTGCCCACATCCCCACCCTTAATTTGGTTAAATCTCAACCCTTAATTAAATTTCTAATCAATTCTTTTTATTTGTCTAAATTTTTATCCATTTGTTCTTCTTCTTTTTTAAGCCTTCCATTTAGCTTAATTTTAGCCAAAAATTTTAATGGAAGTCAAACTTAATTAATGCTTTAGGTTGGCCAAAGTTGAGAGAAAAATGATAAATTTTTATCCTCCAAGTTTCTAGAGTTTTCTAAGGCTTATTCTTTCCTAAATCCTCTTTTTATTCAAATAATCATTTCTAACCCTTTCTTTTTAGTATTTAGGACTAAAATTTTGACCTTAACATTCATATATAATTTAATTTAGATTATTAAGCTTTTAATTTTAAGCAATCGAGTCCCTAATTTTATATAATTTAGTCCCTACTTTTAACATTCCATTCTATGCTCTTCAAAAATACAATTTCTTTTCAGAATAAATTGAAAAATTTATTAAGGGGTTTTATTTTAAATTTTCATAATTTTTGGACCTTATTTGGGCCTCTAAATTAATTATTTAGTGTAAATATTACACTATTTCTTATGAGAAATATTCCCTATATATTGGAAAATTAATTAAAATTTATTAGACACTCCTAAATACTCCAAGTGATTTTTCGATACCCTTAAAAAATTTCTTCATTCTTTTAAAGTATCTAATTTAATTCTTCTATCTCTAAGACACTATTTCAACACATCAAAATTCAAATAAATATTCATAGCACATAATAAAATTTACACAATTACATAAAATAATTCAACACTCTTCTAACAAATATTCTAAACAAAGAAAATATTTTTCTTGCACACATAAGATGCTCAAAATAATTATTTCACCCAAAAATCACTATTCATGCACCATAAAATAAATAAAATACTCATTGAGCATAAATGAACTATTTTACTTACTCCGAATATTATTTTAAGTCTTTGTGAACTATTTTATGTCTTCAAAATATCTCGCATATGTTTTTAAATATTTAATAATTTCTTTTTTGTTTATTTTTAGTTTAAGGGGGTATCGGTTCTAATAAATATTCTAAACAAAGAAAATATTTTTCTTGCACACACAAGATGCTCAAAATAATTATATTACCCAAAAATCACTATTCATGCATCGTAAAATAAATAAAAATATTCATTGAGCATAAAAGAACTATTTTACCTACTTCGAATATTATTTAAAGTCTTTGTGAACTATTTTATGTCTTCAAAATATCTCGCATATATTTTTAAATATTTAATAATTTTTTTTTTAATTTTAGTTTAAGCGAGTATCGGTTATTATAGTGCCGTTAGATTTAAAGTAAATGATAAATTAGAAATATACCTTTTGATGATCTAGATAATTTAGATATTTTTTATAGAGCACTTGGGTAGAAAAAATCCAATGATTGAGTCTTTTAGTAGATACATACCTCATGGTTTATTATCTCGATTTGTTAGAGCTTCGTGCCGATAACGTGTTATGAAAAAAATGATAGCAATGATAGAATTGGAGAGAAAAATGATGAAGAAATGATTTCACTATAGAATAAAAAGCATACAAGAGATAACAACTCTAAATATTTTTTTCAATCTCCACAAAATGCTTGTACATAAACTAATCAACAATCAAGTTTATTTATAGGCTTCAAAAGTGAGAGGAGAATTTGGAAGGGACTATGAATAATTAAAAGTACATAAATTGTTGAATCAATTTCATCACCTTTTCAATTTCTCATATTAAATGATGAATTGAATCACATTAAGAATTGTGGTAGTGGGGATATGAAAAGTATATGAATATTTAAATAGACATTCATTATTTTATAACGTAAACCAAATTATTTATTATTTGAACCAACATTTGCAAGTTTTTTTATTGCATTTTTTCATTTTTAATTAAAAAAGGACCCAAATAAAATAATTTAGGCATATTGGATTGTACATTGGTAAATTTTCAAATTTTAGAGACTAGTATGAAATAAAATTAAAAGATGAGGCACTAACTTGTTGCTAAACAAAAAGCCGAGAGATTTTCGTTTTTCTATAGAAGAGACTAGTTTCTTTACATGCGTTATGCTTGTGGATCGGACAAAATACATATACAATTATTTTTTAAAAATTATTTCATTTTGATATTCCGTGTTATATTGGGCGTCTATCAAAATATATTAAATCAAAACTAAATAAAAATTCATTCAATTTTATCATTTTTTAATCAAAATTTTGTATTTTACTAATTATTATTTATATTTTCATAAACTTTTCATTAAAAAATATTATTATTTATCTCTATTCACATTTTTAGCTAAAACCTTATTTTGTAATTTTTTTTAACATCTTTTTGTTTTAAAATTTTTAATTAAAAAAACAGAGAAAAAAGCAATGACCAAAGTGATCAAAATAAAAAAAAACCAAATCAAATAAAAAATATTTACAGATTAAAAAAATAATATTTAAAAAAGAGAGACCAAAGTGTAATGGTATCAAAAATTTCATAATAAATATTTTAAAAATATTTAAAAACTATAAAAACACAAATTTATAGTAAAAATAATAATGCATTTAATTCTCGAGTAATACAGTGAAATGATTTTAGTTTAGTTTTTTTTAGAAAGGAATGAGATTTCAGTAAACGACTCCGTTTAATTTAATTCTCTTGACTACATTTCAAATTGTCAGGTTCCTCCTTAATTCCTTGGCATTTACAAACACTCTCTTAAACCCTAAAACCTTTTATCTATAATATCTCTTCAAGATTGTGCTGTTATTTTGTTCATGTCCTTGGAACATGAATGATTATGTCTTAATTTTGAAGATTGGTCTGCAAGATAAAACAACATAGCAGCTGAACTTGCTCACAACACCTGACATGTGAAGATGCTGTTAAGGAACCCAGGTAAAGTTTTCTATGTAAAGATTGCATACATTATTTTCACATTTAATTGAGATTCTATCTTATTCTTAAATTTTGCAAAAAAAAATTGATCTCTGTATTTGTAGTTACTTTATGCTCTCTCTGTTTTTTTTTGTGGTCATTTTGATGCTGCAGGAATAAGATTGAGTTACAATTCAAGGTGCTGTTATGTTTTAATTAATTCAAGGAAGTTGGCGTCATTTTCTAATGGCCCTCCTTCTGATTTGGGTGGGAAAACTCATCTCTTTAATGAAGGGGTCAATCAAGAAAACTGGAGGAATTTTGATGGTGTGAGACAGGGAGTAGATGTTGTGTGCCGTATTTTGGAAAGTGGTTCATGGGGACCTGCCCTTGAGAATTCTTTGTCAATGTTTAATGAAAAGCCTCAACCTGAGTTGGTTATTGGAGTATTAAGGAGGTTGAAAGATGTTAATCAAGCAGTGAATTATTTTCGTTGGGCCGAGAGGAAAAGTGAGGAACCACTTAGTGCGGAAGCTTATAATTCACTTCTTATGGTGATGGTTAGAACTAGGAAGTTTGATTACTTAGAGCAGATTTTGGGAGAGATGACTATTGCAGGATTTGGCCCTACTAATTACACTAGTGTGGAGTTAGTTGTGAGCTTTGTTAACTCACAGAAGCTTAGAGAAGCTTTTGATCTCCTGCAAATGATGAGAAATTTTAAATTTCGCCCTGCCTTTTCTGCTTATACAACTTTGATCGGTGCTTTGTCTGAAGTTGGTGAATCCGATCGCATGCTCACTCTCTTTCATCAAATGCAGGAGCTGGGTTATGAAGTGAATGTGCACTTATTTACCACTCTAATTCGTGTGTTTGCCAGGGAGGGCCGTGTTGATGCTGCTCTCTCTCTGTTGGATGAAATGAAGAGCAACACTCTTAATGCCGATATTGTTCTTTATAATGTTTGCGTAGACTGCTTTGGTAAGGTGGGCAAGGTGGATATGGCTTGGAAATTTTTTCACGAGCTGAAGGCAAATGGTTTAGTGCCTGATGATGTGACTTATACTAGCATGATGGGTGTTCTATGCAAAGCCAACAGACTGGATGAAGCTGTTCAAATATTTGAGCAGATGGAGCAAAACAGACAAGTTCCATGTGCTTATGCTTACAACACCATGATTATGGGTTATGGATCAGCTGGAAAGTTTGGCGAGGCATACAGTTTGCTTGAGAGGCAAAAGGCAAAGGGGTGCATTCCAAGTGTGGTTGCGTATAACTGCATTCTTACTTGCCTTGGGAAGAAGGGAAAAACAGATGAGGCATTAAGAATCTTCGAGGAGATGAAGAGAGATGCAGCACCCAATCTTCCAACATATAACATTATAATAGACATGCTTTGCAAGGCTGGAAATGTTGAGGCTGCTTTCAAGGTTCAGGATGCCATGAAAGAGGCTGGCTTGTTTCCTAATGTCATGACTGTAAACATAATGATCGATAGGCTTTGTAAAGCTCGAAAGCTTGATGAAGCTTGTTCAATATTTGAAGGAATGGATCATAAAGTTTGCTCCCCAGATGGCGTTACATTCTGTTCGCTTATAGATGGTTTGGGCAAGCAAGGTAGAGTGGATGATGCCTACAGGATTTATGAACGAATGTTGTATGCTGATCAAATTCCAAACGTTGTTGTTTATACGTCCCTCATCAGAAATTTCTTCAAGTGTGGCAGGAAGGAGGATGGTCACAAGATGTACAAAGAAATGATTCGTAGTGGATGTTCTCCTGACCTCATGCTCCTGAATACCTACATGGATTGTGTTTTTAAGGCTGGTGAAACTGAGAAAGGCAGGGCTTTGTTTGAGGAAATAAAGGTTCAAGGGTTTCTTCCTGATACAAGAAGCTATTCGATCCTAATCCATAGCCTTGTGAAAGCTGGTTTTGCACGAGAAACCTATGAGTTATACTATGCAATGAAGGACCAAGGCTGTGTTTTGGACACCCGTGCTTACAACACTGTTATTGATGGGTTCTGCAAGTCAGGTAAGGTGAACAAAGCTTATCAGCTGCTGGAAGAAATGAAGACAATGGGCCACCATCCAACTGTTGTAACCTATGGTTCTGTCATCGACGGCCTTGCTAAAATTGATAGACTTGATGAAGCATACATGCTCTTTGAGGAAGCGAAGTCAAATGGCATAGAGTTAAATCTTGTGATCTATAGTAGTCTTATTGATGGGTTTGGAAAAGTTGGTAGAGTTGATGAGGCATATCTAGTTATGGAAGAAATGATGCAGAAAGGTTTAACACCTAATGTGTACACATGGAATTGCTTGCTGGATGGATTGGTGAAAGCAGAGGAAATTAGTGAGGCCCTTGTCTGCTTTCAGTCCATGAAAGACTTGAAATGCATTCCGAATCAGGTAACTTATTGCATTCTCATAAATGGCCTCTGTAAGGTTAGGAAATTTAACAAGGCCTTTGTGTTTTGGCAAGAGATGCAAAAGCGAGGATTAAAACCCAATACCATCACCTACACTGCCATGATCTCTGGACTTGCAAAGTCGGGAAATGTTGCACAGGCGAGTAGTCTATTTGAGAGATTTAAGGCAAGTGGGGGGATACCTGATTCTGCTAGTTATAATGCTATGATAGAAGGGTTGAGCGCTGCAAATAGGGCATTGGATGCATATCAACTATTTGAGGAAACTCGGTTGAAGGGTTGCCTTATTCATACCAAAACTTGTGTTTCACTTTTGGATGCACTGCATAAGGCTGAATGTCTTGAGCAGGCGGCAATAGTGGGGGCTGTTTTGAGGGAAACAGCAAAATCTCAACATGCTGCAAGATCTTGGTAATGTCAGGTGGCTTGTTTTTACTGAGGGACGGGCTATTGTAGCTAATCTGGCAACTGCTTGATTTCATAATGTTTAGCACTGAGCAATTCATTGGATGGGTGGAGTTATACGTGATTCCTTACTTCCCAACTTCCTTAACGGAGCCACACTAGCTCCTTGCAGCGGTATGTTCTTATCTTTTAATTCTGAAAATCATTGAATGCAATGTAACTTTTCTATGCAATACCAGTTTGGGAAGGGAAAACCTTTGCACAATTACAATTCTTTCTGGACATCCAATTACATTTGGTCCTAGTGATAAATGCAGACTATTAGGAATTTAAAGGATAGTACTGTGTGTATGAGCAGTGCCCATATTCTTTTTTCCTGGTTTTGTTCACTGATCTCATCTTCACTGGATTAGTACCAAAGATAAAACTAATCAAACGCTAAGCTGAGTATGTGGCTTTACCAATTCTTGGTTTTTCACAAGTTATTCTTTCTGCAGGTAATTGTGTTGACTTCATGCTGCATTGGTGCAAGTATCACATGCGGAAGTTAAAACATTTGATGCCTACAACTGACATCGTACATGATTATAGCTTTTAATACTCCATTGTCTTACAGATCCGCAACATCAGTTTGTGTCAGAACCGACAGTACAAGCACAAAGCTTTTTTTTTCCTCATCCACTGATTGCTGGGATACATTTATTCGAGTTTCCTTCTTGGGTAGCATTTGACCTCCGAAAGGGATGTTTCTGGTATAGTTGGGAAATTTTTTCAATCCTCACGTAACAGCACTTCTGGGGTTCAAATAAATTGTTTGAATGCCGACACAGAACATGTATTGGGCCATTTTTTTGATGTATTAATTATTTTTACTGTAGTCTTAGAGAAAGGCTTAGCTACATTTTCATTTGACGAGCAAAAATGCAGTCTCAGTTGCTATAGATGCAGATCAATGCCAATGAATGGCAGCACTTTGCGAGGACACCTAAGGAGTGCCATGGACATCTGTACTGTGTGCAAATCATGCCCCCGTGAAAGGTATGGAGGTCCATACCATTTCCGACCAAGGATCTTGTACCTATCATCAATGTTGATATAGTTATTTTATTTTAAGTGTAAGTTTTTAATTCGATTGATGGTTGCATAAGTTTTATTTTTAAATTTTTTTTTCCTGTCTTTATTGTGGCTTCTATTTTTTTTGTTTTGTTTTAAGTTTATCTATTTACGTTTGGTTTTTGTCTTAATGTTGTCTCTTGGTTAACTTAATGGTGTTAATTTTTTCCCTATTTTAATCTCATTCTTTTACTTTATTTTGTCGTCTTAATTTTTTTTTCTTACTGAATTTAAATAAATCAGTTTTGAAAATTAAAAAATGGAAATAAATGCGAAGATATATTCGGTGATTTCTCTAATTTTTTTTTAAATAGGTGAAACTAATTTTTTGATTCAAAATATTATTATGGCTTTAATTTATCTCTATAATAGTAAGCAAATTTTAAATATAAAATAAAATATTTATAGTATTCTTTTTTTAAAGCAAAGAGAGTTTTAGTTAAAATTTTAGACTTTTTAATAGTATTTTTAATTTGATAATACCCCAAAAGAGTTTACTATAATTTACTTATTTTGATAAATTTAAATTTGTTACAAATTTTAGTCAAATTAGGAAATTTGATAGTGTTGGGTCCAACCCTAACAAAACTTTATGTTTCTACTTTTGAGTAAAATTAAAAAAATTATAAAATAAAAATGAATATATTATAATAGGCTCGTTTGAGATATTACAAAATTTAAATATTATTTAAAATTTAATTATTTTTTTTCACATTTTAAAAAGATTATTTTAAACCCAAAATTTGTTTACTATATACATTTAGAAAAAATATTATAAATATTTTATTTTATATTTAAAATTTGCTTATTATTATAGAGATATTTAAACCTATAAAGAATATTTAGGATAAAATAATATTATTAGTGCCATTTTTTTAAAATTTTTAATTTTTAAAAAGAATGACCACGTATATATTTATTTTTTTTTCAGTTATTTATTTATTAAGACAGAATGATAGAGTAAAAGGAAAAGATTAAAACAGAAAAAGATAAATAAATTAATATTGTTAGTACAAAAATTAATGAAATAATGAAATTAAAACAGAAACAAACCTACGTATATAAATTTAGAAAGAAAAAAAGAAATCTACAACTATTAACCCGTTTTTTTTTTTTATTTATTAATTGGATAAAGGTAGAATCGATGACAAAAGAATAAAAGGATTGCTGGGTCTGAACATCCATGCTGCAGTTGCATATCATTAGCATGTGCATGTGGGGGCAATAACGACAGGTCCAGCCCAAAGAAAATTATTACTACTGTTTATCACTTTATCTTATTAATTGACCCATTTCAACTCCTGGGTAACCGTTCAGCAACGGTAAAGATTCCTTGGTCCAAAAAAATCAACGACCGTAAAGACCAATCAAAAACATTACCCATTGTAGAGAAGCCTTCCTTCCTGTCCAACAGCTGAAAAATGTGACCGTTACCAAAAAGTCCAACGTTTCTTTTCAACTTTGCTTTGAAAAATTTAAATTTTGAAAAGATCCAGAAAAAGGAGATACACAAATTTAACTAATAAATAACCCCTACCAATTAATCAAAATCATCAAATCTCTCTCTCGCACTTCTATTTTGTTCTTTCTTTTCACAAAAAAAAAAATAAAATAAAATAAAAAAATGGCACTGAGACCCATTGATAATGCACTTCCAATAACACCAGACAGACTCAAAAAACATGTAAAAGTAGTTTCTGTTCCGATTCAAAAACAATCGGAGTTTGGTGGTGTAAATGATGAAAATAAGGCTTCTTTGCCTCCATATACAGATTCCACTATTGATTATGTCTCTTCTGTGGATCTGAAACCCATTTCAGATCCTGAATCCAAGATCCAAGTAAGTCTCTCTTTTCTTTTTTCTCAAATGGGTCTTTTTTGTGTTTTCTGATTTTCCATAAAAAGATTTAACTTTAGTTAGATTTCAATTTTTTAGAGCAAACCCAGATTTCATATCATTTGGATTCTTCGTTTTAGGGTTTAATTGAAGGGTTGGATTCAAAGGATTGGACAAAAGTTTGTGAGTCACTGAATAACGCTAGGCGATTTGCACTGTATCATTCCGCCCTCTTGTTACCAGTCTTGTAAGTGATTTTTGGTTGTAAATCGAACTTGAATATGCTATCATTTAGTCGCTAATGTTGTGTGTGATAATTGCTAAACATTTGTGTGATTTGTTAAATAGGGAAAAGGTAATGTTAGTGGTGGTAAAGGCCATGAAGAACCCAAGGAGTGCTTTGTGCAAGACCTCTATTATGGCTTCATCTGACATTTTCAATGCCTTTGGTGACCAATTAAGTGACTCTACTGGTGATGCATTTGATCATTTGGTGAGGACCCATTTCTTCTCTTCTATTTTTCTTCCCGTTTTTATAATAGATTACTGTTTGGAAAGTGAATGATTTTGGGCTATGTTGTGGGTGGACAGCTATTGCAGCTACTGCTGAAAGCTTCTCAAGACAAAAAGTTTGTGTGTGAAGAAGCAGATAAGACTTTGAATGCAATGGTGAAGTCCATGACTCCTCTGCCTTTGCTTAATAAGCTTAAGTCATATGTTAGCCATGTCAACCCTAGAGTCAGGGCCAAAGCTGCTATATCTATCTCCAACTCTGTGTCTAAGATGGTAAAACTTCCATAAAGTCACATCTTTGAGTTTATATTGCCAATTTTTAAGCCAGTTCGTTTATTAATATTGACTAGTGGTGGGGTTCTGTGTGGTATGGATTTCAGGGGCTGGAACGAATGAATGAGTTTGGTTTGGTTGCACTTGTTCAAATGGCTGCGGATTTGTTGAACGATAGGCTGCCAGAGGCAAGAGAAGCGGCAAGGAGTACTGTGATTTCTATACATGAAGCATATACAGGAAATGAAGAGCAGAAGCAGGAGGAATGGCAAGACTTTTGTCAATCCAGTTTGCCACCTATTCATGCTCAGTCTATGCTTAAAATTACTGCTACTTCTCAGTAGAGATTATGTTAACTATATAAGCAAGGGCATTTTATAACTGGGATTATGGTCATGTCAACAAGTTTAACACTATCAGAACTTCAGTTTCATGTAAATCCTATTTTTACATGATTTGGAGATTAGTAGTGGTGTTCCGGTGATTTAGTTGTTGTTGATCTTCCTTCTTCTTTTCTTCATCCCTTAGCATGCCTTCATGAGGTGATTCCATTCCATTTAAAACAGTAAACAGTGATGGTAGAATATAAAATTATTGGACTTTTTATCTATCTAATAATGTCCCAACTTCCTTAAAATTTAGATAACAAGAAATATTTCTTCTTAGCGCAGGATCTTGTGCAAGCCAAATCATAAATTTGTCAGGCTAATACGTGAACAAGAAATCAAATAGGATTTAAAAAAAAAAAAAAACTTGATTCTTTGCAGCTTAGGAAACTTGATTTTAATGTGACGTAAAGATTAAATTGATGCTGACAACGAGAGGTAAGAAACAGAAGAGGTGTGAGAAAATGATTCACCGTCATTCATAGGTATTTCTGTCATCTAATGTTTGATTTTAATTACGCTAACTTGCAATATCATTCATGAAGGTATTTCATTTCATTAACTCCTATGGGGAATTCAACTAACAAATAGGCATTGATTAATGTTCTAATAGGGATGTAATTATAATTTTTTAGAACTAGATATATGCAAGTTTCAATTTAGGCAAATCCCATCAAACTGCCAATTAAGTTACATTAATCAATTGGTTGGCTTTAATGTGCCCCTTTGTTAATAGATTCAAACCTTTTCTTTGTAATAAAAAAAGAAAATTGATAAAAATGCTTGTGGAGAGAATGATATGTATATATTGAACATTGAACACTTTGAATTACATTGATACACGAAAAAGTATTACTAATATGAAGCGCAAATATTGGCTTCGAGGACACAACAAAATACCTAAAAAAAAAAAAAGAAAAAAGGTTAATTGATGCATCTATCTTTTTATATATTGGAAGAATTCTTTCGTATGCCCTTTTTAAAAAAACTCACTCTTGTAAGTTCTTATATATTTTTATTTTCTTACATAAATGCCCCTCAAATCACCAAAAGAAAATTAATTTTAGAAAATTTTAAAAAAAAATTATTACAAAAGAAGGAAAATTTAAACCTAGAAAACACACACACACACATATATAAAAACAATTAAAAATACCTAAAATAATGGGTTACTTCAAATTTCTTGGGTTGTTCCGAATTTTTATATTTCTAGATTTTTATATTTTTCACATTTTTAAAAACTTTTTACTTTCTTGGTTTTTCAATTTTTTTAAAATTTTTAAAATTAACTTCTTATTTTTTATGTATTAAAAATAATGTTTTCTTTCTTTAGTTTTAAGGGCATTTGATTGTAAAAAAACGACAAAAGGAGATATAAGATAAATGAATGCATGAGGGCTTGTGAGAGTGAAAAAAAATCTTAAGATGACATATAAGTGAATACGCCTAAAATGATGGATCAAACCTAAACAATAAATAATAAATAATGTAGGGTTACATTTATATATGAAAAATCGAGATTTGGTGATATAACGTAGGAGGGTCTTCCAAAAGTGGAACAAAGTGTTAGAACTGCACTCAATTGATTCAATACCATAAACCTAGAAAAGAGAGTAGAGAGTTGGAACGAGCGTATAACAAGAATTGTTGGAATTCCTTAAATGAATACGTCTAATATATAAGATGATGGATCAAACCTAAAAAATAAATAATAAATAACTGAAGTTGTTATTGTTGTGAAAAATAAAAGTAATATGAGAATTTAAAGGAAGGATGACAAGAAGAAGAATTCACTATAAAGTGAATATAAGTGAGAAAAACTTCAAGTTATTCTCTTAATCTATCTAAAAACTTATACATCAACAAATGAACAATCAAGCCTATTTATAGGCCTTAAAATTAAGATGAGAATTGGAAGGGACTATGAATAATTAAAAGTACATCAATTGCATCACCCTTTCAATTTCTCATATTGAATGGTGAATTGAATCACATTAAGGATCATGAGTAGTAGGGATATGAAAAATAGATGGACATTCATATGGACATTCATTATTTTATAACACTCTCCCTTGAATGTCCATTGTATAAGAAATATGCCTCGTTAAAACTTACTAGGAAAAAACCCGGTGGGAAAAAAAATCCTAGTGAAGGAAAAAGAGTACATTATTCCTTGTACACATTAATACCCATTTTGGTCTCCCCTGTTGAAGACATTATTTAAGATCTCTAAGATGACGTATTCCAATCTTATGAATCATCTTCTCAAAAGTTGTGGTAGGTAATGCCTTAATGAACAAATCTACTAGATTATCACTTGATCGAATTTGTTGAACGAGTAATATCACCATTTCATTGAAGATTATGTGTGAAAAATAATTTTGGTGATATATGCTTCGTTTTGTCACCTTTGATGCATCCTTCATTTAATTGAGCTATGCGAGCGGTATTATCTTCATACAAGACTCGTTGGAACTTCCTTGTTAGTGGATAAACCGCATGTCTCTTGAATATGATGGGTAATTGATTTTCACCAAATACATTCTCGACTTGCCTTATGAATTGCTAGTATTTACGCATGGTTTGAAGATATGGCAACTATAGTTTGCTTCATATAACGTCATGATATAGTTCGTATCTCCATATGTAAATACATAACCGAGTGTGAGATCGAGCTTTGTGTGGATCGGATAAATAACCAGCATCCGCATAACCAATTAATACGATCTTTGATTTGTTAGATTAATATAAGTTCATATCAATTGTTCCTTATAGATAACGTAATATATGTTTAATTCCATTTCAATGTCTCGTGTTGGAGCGAACTATATCTTGCTAATAAATTTACGGAAAATGCTATATCGAGTTGAGTATTATTAGCAAGATACATTAATGCACTAATTGCACTAAGGTATGGTACTTCAAGACCAAGAAGTTTTTCGTTATCTTCTCGAGGTCGAAAAGGATCCTTTTGAACATCAAGTGAACGAACTACCATTGGGCTAGTCAATTGATGAGCCTTATCCATTAGAATCTTCGTAGTAATTTTTCTATATATGTTGACCGATGAATAAAAATTCCATCTTTTAAGTATTCAAAATGCGAAGTCGAGACAAAATTTTGTTTTTCCAAGATCTTTCATATCAAATTCTCCTTTTAAATAATTTATGGCACTTAAAATCTCTTCGGGAGTTCCAATGATATTTAAATCGTTAACATATACGAGCAATTATCATAAACCTCTTTTTGAATTTTTTTATAAAGACATATGGACAAATTGGGTTATTTTTATAACTTCTTTTAATAAATAATCACTAAGGCAATTATACCACATGCATCCAGATTGTTTCAATCCATATAGAGATCTTTGTAATTTAATTGAATACATCTCTCGAGAATGTATTTTGCATGCTTCGAGCATTTTAAGTCCTTCGGGACTTTCATATAGATATCATTATCAAGTGAACCATATAAATAGGTTGTGATTACATTCATTAAATGCATATGAATTTTTTCACATGTCTGTCAAGCTAATAAGATAACGAAATGTAATTGCATTAATTATAGGAGAATATGTCTCTTCATAGTCAATGCCGAGTCTTTGTGAAAACCCTTGCGCTACAAGTCTTGCTTTATATCTCATAATTTCATCTTTTTCATTTCATTTTTGCATAAATACCCATTTGTATCCTATTGGTTTAACATCTTCGGGTGTTTTAACTATGGGTCCAAAAGCTCGTTCGTTTTGTGAGAGACTTTAATTCTTCTTGAATTGCATCTTTCCACTTAGGCCAATCATTTCTATGTCGACATTCGTCAATGTATTTAGGCTCGGGATCCTTATTCAAAATATCAATTGCCACATTATATGCAAAGATGTTATCAATGAATGTTTCTTTTCGATCCCATATTCTCTATGTGTTAACATAATTTATCAAAATTTTGTTGATTTTTCTTAAGCATTTGGGCTTCTCCTAGAAGCTTGTTATAAAAACCATCTTGGACCGTTTTATTTGCCTCCTTTATATTTTTTTCTTGATTATTTTTCCTTTTTTTCTTTCGAGAATTTTTATCTTTAGAACCGATCGGTCTTCCACGCTTTAGGCGTGCTTTAAATTCATTTGTTATAACATTAATAGGTTGTCCTATTGAGACATCAATTTTAATAGGAGCATTCTCGGCAGGAACATGTGATTTAGTTACTCTCTTTGGATCGGAGAATGCATCCGGCGAGTTGGTTTGCAAGACTTTGTAAATGAATTATCTTCCGAACTTCAAGTTCACATTGTTTTGTACGAGGATCAAAATGATATAAAGTTGAAGTATTCCATGTAATTTCTTTTTTCAATATTTTTAATCGCTTATTTTGTTTATTTTCTCCCCTTAATGTCGGAAAAATTATTTCATCAAAATGATAGTTAGCAAAATGAGCCGTAAAAACATCCCCCGTTAATGGTTCAAGATATTTAATTATAGAAGGAGATTCATATCCAACATATATTCCCAATCTCCTTCAAGGACCCATTTTAATTCGTTGTGGAGGAGTAATTAGGACATATATTACACATCTAAAAATTCTCAAATGAGAAATATTAGGCTCATGACCAAAAACCAATTGAAGGGGAGATAATTTCGATAACTTATAGGTCCGATGCGAATAAGTGTTGCTGCATATAAAATTGCATGTCCCCAAACATAAATAGGAAGTTTTGTTTTCATAAGTAATGGTCTAGCTATCAATTGGAGGCTTTTGATAAATGATTCTACTAGACCATTTTGAGTATGAACATGAGCAACGAGTCGTTCAACTCATATTCCAATAGACATGCAATAATCATTAAAAGCTTGAGATGTAAATTCACTAGCATTATTAAGGTGAATTGTTTTAATGGTATAATCAGAAAATTATGCTCGTAATCGAATTATTTGAGCAAGTAACCTAAAAATGTTAGGTTTCG